GATGAAGCGTTCAAAAGGATGATATTTAACTATTGTGACTGTGATGGAGGCCAAGCAGGAAAGCAAATCCAGTATCTCACTGGTGTCTCCTGCCTTCTAGTTTCATGTATAAAGATTTGGGAATGGCCAGATTTTTCTTCAAAGCCTTGATTATTCCTTTTTAAACATGTAATATTGACCCAGCAGGAAGCATTCAGGTTAGTTTGGGCTTTCACTTCATGATTGCTGAGCTTTTCTGCAAGCTGTTTTTCCTTCATAGACTCTCTTTCCAGGAACAGAAGGAACATTCTTCACAATTCTAGTCCCTTTAAAGAATGACTTCGTTGGCTCAAAGAGGATCTTGCGGTTATTAGCAGCAAAAATGAATTATCCTAAAGCGAACTCTTTTTTCAAGTCCTAGAACACGGAAGGTTAATGACCAACTTGCTTTGAGGAGAGAAATATGAAAAGAAGAATTGCCACGTCTGCTGAAGAGCTAATCAAGCATATTGTTCCCTTGATTCTAGAAAATTGTAATGCGCTTGAAAAAAGGTTGAAAAGATGCCCATGGTATAAATGTGTGTTCCTGTGTCCTGTAGTGTTGGTGTTTCCAGGGACAGCGGGGATGCGGTGAAGACATGGCTGCTTGTGGTGTTCTGGTGTTCCTTATCATTCCAAATGACAGATGGTTCCCTCTGCTGGCTGAACTGAAATTCAGCCCTCCATGCTGAGACAGTTTGGGAGGAATCACCAATGGTCTCACTGATTATTAAAACATAGTTTTGAGTTTCATTCTTAAAGATCTAACCTCATCTATGATAAGCTTAAGCGTAGTCCAGAACTGGTAATTAATTTATTTCCTTCCTTCCTTCCTTCCTTCCTTCCTTCCTTCCTTCCTTCCTTCCTTCCTTCCTTCCTTCCTTCCTCCCTCCCTTCCTCCCTCCCTTCCTCTTTTCTTCCCTTCCTCCCTTCCTCCTTCCTTTAATCCTAGAAAAGAAACAAGTACAGATGAGCAGAAAAAGTAGTATAATGTACTCTCACTCTCCCAAAACGAGTATCTTGTTTGGTCAGATTTGCTTCCAGTGTTGTTTTTTCCTTTTTAAAGAAGCTATTGTAAAACTAAGTTCATTTTCAACAGTAATGTCCTGTCCTTCCCTCCACCCTCCACTTTCTTTGCTGCCTGTACTCCCTGCCCAAAATTCGCTACCATAAATTTGGGATGTATTTGACTAGTCAGTTGTTTATACTTTTACATACATATATGTGTATCCACAACAGCAGCCCCCAACCTTTTTGGCACCAGGGACTGGTTTTGTGGAAGATAATTTTTCCTTGGATGGGAAGTTGGGGGATGGTTTTGGGATGAAACTGTTCCACTTCAGATCATCGGGTGTTAGAGTCTCATTGTAAAGCATGCAGCCTAGATCCCTCACATGCACAGTTCACAGTAGGGTTCCTGCTCCTATGAGAACATAATGTCCCTGCTGATATGACAGGAGGCAGAGCTCAGGCGGTAATGCTCCCTTGCCCACCACTCACCTCCTGCTGTGTGGCCCTGTTCCTAACAGGCCACAGAGTGGTACTGGTCTGCCACCTGGGATTTGGGGACCCCGATCTACGATGAATACATATTATTGGGTTTATATGTTTAACATTTTCCTTTGTGTTGCTTTTCTGCACATGACATTTATGAAACATGCACACTAATACCTATAAAACCAATCTATTCTTTTTAACAGCCACATAGCCTTTAATCATTTAAATATTACGTATTTTATTTACCCATTTCCCTTTAAGGGTGACTTTTAGGTCATTTTCAAGTTTTGTTATACTGAAAAAGTGCCACAGTAATCATTTTAGCATATGTCTCCTTATAGGTGTGTTTTTTAACCCTGGTATATCGCCCAAGAAGAGTCAGTATGCCATGGCATATGTGTACTGTCACTTCTGACAATGCAGAAATTGCTCAATAAAATAATATACCGATTCATGATTCTGCCAGAAGTAAACTAGCATAATATGCTGTTTTTTCTCACATCTTGGACAACACTGAATTTTGTCAGCTTTTTCATATTAACTAATCTGATAGAAAGAAGGTAGAATCCCATTATTTTCATTTGTATTTTCCTCATGTTTAGTGAGTGTATTTGTCTGTTTTCATGCTGCTGATAAAGACATACTGGAGACTGGGCAATGTACAAAAGAAATAGGTTTAATGGACTTAAAATTCGACATGGCTGGGGAGGCCTCACAATCATGGCAGAAGGCAAGGATGAGCAAGTCACATCTTACGTGGATGGCAGCAGGCAAAGAGAGAACTAGTGCAGGGAAACTCCTGTTTTTAAAACCATCAGATCAAGAACAGCACAGGAAAGACTCAGCCCCTTGGGATGATAATTAAATCAAATTACCTCCCACCAGCTTCCTCCCATGACACATGGAATTGCGGGAGTTACAATTCAAGTTGTAAAACCATATCAGTGAGGTTGAACTTCTTTTCTTATGTCCATGGTTCATGTCCATGTTTCTTATGTCCATGGTTCAATATCCAGGGTTCATTATTTCTTCTTTTCCTTATATATTCTGGTTACTTATTCCCTTTCTGTTAAATATGTTGCTAGTATCTTTGGCTGATCTGGCATTTGAGAAGATGATTTCTTCAGATGATCAGTAAAGTTAAATTGTTATAGTATCTAATTTAATTCTATGTAGTACCAAGAAGTCAGGCGTATCTCTACCTTCAATCTATTGCAAATCCTTTTGGATCTGCTTTCAAAATATTCAGCATAGGACTGACCTATTTTCACTATCCTGTGTGCTACCTGGCTAGCACCTTTATTCACCAGGATACCTGAAGGAGCCTTTCAAAGTAGCCTTGCTTTTCAGTTTATTCTTACCAAATAGCCAGAGAAAGCCTATTAAAATGTAAGTCAGGTCTTAGTTCGCCTCTGCTTAAAACAAGGCAATGGCTTCCTACCTTGCCCCAAGTCAAAGCCTAAGTTCCTAGAGTGGCCCGTGAGGTCCAGCACCCTCCAGCTCCCCGTCACCACTCTGACTGGGTTTCCTGCCACTCTCCCCTGGCTATTCCAGCCACAATGGCCTCCCTGCTGTTCTAACATACCACCATGCACCTGCCTGGGACCTTTGTACTTTTTGTTCTCTCTGCCTAGAATTTCTTCATCCAGAGCCATCATCATGGCTGTCTTCTGTACCTCAAATCTTCCCTGGGACACTACCCTTTCAGTGAGATCTTTCCTGATCTCCCTGCTCAAAAATGTAACAGTCACCCCAAACTCACTGTACTGATTTCCTAGGGTGGCGGTAACAAAGTACCATACACTGAGTGGCTTAAACAACATAGATGTGTGATTTCAGGCCACACATCTGAAATCAAAGTGTCACCAGGGCCATGCTCCCTATGAAATCTGCAGGGTAATCTCCCTTTGCCTCTTCCTAGCTTCCGGTGATTTTCTGGCAATCCTTGGCTTGTGGCTACATAACTCCAGTCTCTGCCTTTGTCCTCACATAGCGTTCCTTCTCCCCTATGTCTTTGCGTGTTTACGTGGTCATCCTCTTATATCCAGTCATATTAGATTAGAGGCCTGCCCACCCTATTCCAGTATGACTTCATCTTAATTTAAATAATTATATCTGTATCAATCCTTTTATCAAATAAGGTCACATTCTCAGTACTGAAGGTTAGGACTTCAACATATCTTTGTTCCTGATGGGGAGGGGTTGCGGTAGGAGAATTCAACCCATAACACTCTCCATCTCCCTTCCTATTATGTGTTTCTCCAGAGTGCTTACCACTGTTTAACCAACCATGTATTTTACATATGCATTTTGTTTGTCTGTCTCCTCTTCCAGAAGGTAGACAGCATGACGGCCAGATCATGTTCACTGCTATAGAGAATAGTGCCTGACACCTTAGTAGAATCGGAATAAATAGTTGTTAAATGAACAGTTATCCACTTTCAATTACTACATTGAGCTGACTGTGTAACATGATGTGGACCAAAATTATTAGATTAAAAAAAGAGAACAACCTTTAGATGAGATCCTGGGGAATGAATTGGTGTTTGTGATATTTTTATTTCAAAGAAAGGTGCATGAAGGAAACCCAGAGGTAGAGGTCAGAGCAGTGAGTTACCAACCAGTGTGGGGATTAGTGCATTGTCATTGAGTGATTTATGGGCAGCGAGGTCTCAATGGCCTCCATGTTACTTGTCCACTTTGGAGTTATCCCTGCAAGTAAGGTGGGTCATGGGGCTTTCACTTCGCCCTAGCGTCTAACATGTGACAGAAACTGTGCTTGGTTCTTTATTCTCATTTAGGAAAACACCATCCTTTTCATAAATATACCCTTCAAATATTATTATACCCATTTGATAGCGATGGAAAGTGAGGCTCAATGAAGTTGACTGGCTACATAGGACACAGAAATAGTGAACCCATTACTAGGATTCAAACTCAGGCCAGTGGAGCAACAACGAAAAAAACCCATGTTCCTTTCCCTGTCATATTCCTTCAGATTTTTGTGGACTCCAGCATTTCAAGGGATAGTGAGTAAAGTGGCCCACACATGACTCTTCAGACAGATGACTTGGCAAAGACCACCAGAAAACCAGACACTCTTCCTACCAGACTCATGGGACAGCCTCATCCTTTTGCAATATGGAAAGCCCCAGTGGCAGGACTTGTCAGTTCTTGAGGAGGGTCAAATGATGTGGCTAAACCAACCCTGGACTATGAATCAGGAATGAATAATTAAGGCATGGTTCTGCCACTTTTCTAGTGTGATCATGTATGAACCACTTATACCCCTTTGAGCCACAATCTCCCATGTGCAGACTAACGACGATGCCTGCAAAAATCACATGTGTACCTTTATTCTGCCCTTTTAACAAACCTATGTGGAAATACTCAGTATTCATGGTGAATGTTCCTAATGAAATTGTACCTAAAGCCATCTGGACCACTGCTGAAATAATTATCTGAATTTCTTGTTCTTGGTGTAGGTATCCTGGGAATATCTGCCTGCTTAGACCCTCTATAAAAGCTCTGTGCATCCTGCCTCCTGAGGACTCTGAAGACGTAGCAGTCTTCTGAAAGGTAGGGTTTACTTAATTTCGATTTTTTTCTTTTCAAAGAGTTTGAAATAATTGACCTGCTATGGGCATCCTTATAATGGTAGTAATGTTCTATGTACATGTAAAATAGAACTTTTAAAATGGTAAAATTTCAGGGCTAGATTCCCTTGGAGAATTTACCCTCTTTCAACTTCTATTTGTAGCTGCCATTTAAAAAATTGGGGTATAAATATTATGTCAGTTAAATAAAAGAGTGATGACTTCACTTTCTGAAGAAAGCATTACCTTTCTTTTCCATGAAATGTAGCTTACCTGTTACCAGATTGACATGCCATTATATTATCCTCCCCCCAGCAGACAGTTACACATAGTTAATAATTTTGATGTGTAAAAAGTAAGGTTAAACAAAGTCAAGTTGTTATGCTTTGCCTGGCTTTGAGAACTCCAGTGGAATGGAAGTGAAATGAGGAGCAGTGGGAGGCGGCTGTTATAAGACAGATTTTCCAATGGCATTAGGGATTGTTCCTGGTCAGAGGAAGTCCTAGTGGCATATGCTGGGACAGAGTGTGAAGGGGAGGTCTTACAAAGAGACTTGAAGTTACAGTAAAATAATCACTTGTCTGTATGCATCTTTGAATGATTTCACTGGATATGTTAAATATGTATTTTTTAAAATAGCAAAGGACCTGTAATCCTGTCACTTTGGGAGGCCCAGGTATGTGGATCACTTGAGTTCAGGAGTTCGAGGCCAGCCTGACCAACATGGTGAAACCCTGTCTCTACCGACAATACAAAAATTAGCCAGGCGTGGTGGTGGGTGCCCGTAATTCCAGCTACTTGGGAGGCTGAGGCAGGAGAATCACTGTAATCCCAGTTACCTAGGAGGCGGAGGTTGCAGTGAGCCAAGATTGTGCCATTGCACTCCAGCCTGGGTGACAGAGTGAGACCCTGCCACACACACAAAAAACCAATAATAATAATAATAATAATAATAATGGCCCTGAAGTAGGAGCAATGCATTAATCTGGTAATCTCTTCAGCATGTCGCCAGGGGACTGTGCTCAGGTAACCCCTCCCTAGAACTCATATTCACTCCTCTCCTTTTGTCACTTCATCTCATCTTTACTCCTTTCCCTAACAATAACTCCCATTCCTAGGTCTCAGACAGTTTAGCATGTATAATAAGTATGTATATTGAATAATCCTATGTGCCAGAACACAAAGATACTATGCTCCTTTTCCTGCTTCCAGGTAAGACCCCGTTTTCTGTATCCACTTTACAATGTCAGCCGGCTTATCCTTCATGCCATCTTTCTTTCCCTCTCATTCCACAGTCACTTGAAACCCATGGCTTATGCAAAATTTGCAGAGTTGGGGAGGATCGCTGCTAGAGTTGTAGAACTGTGAGACATTGCTGCATCTTTTCGTGGGATGAGGCAGGCATCTTTGCTTCCTAATGTGCCTGATTTTTCTCTGGTGGGTCACCTGCATGTTTAGACAGTTTACCTGGAAAGCAAAGAAGGTTTTAAGGCAGTAAATGAAATGAAGTGAAATGGAGCACTGGTATTATGTGCCTTTTTGCTATGAGCCTTTGCATATAATTATTTGATCCTTTTCTTTTTGTTTTGGTTAGTGTTTTAAGCCCTGAAGGAAGGCTTTTTTTTTTTTTTTGAGATGGAGTCTTAGTCTATTGCCCATGCTGGCATACAGAGGTGCAATCTCAGCTCACTGCAACCTCTACCTCCCGGGTTCAAGTGATTCTCCTGCCTCAGCCTCCCAAGTAGCTGGCATTAAAGGTGCCTGCCACCACGCCCAGTTGTTTTTTGTCTTTTTGTTTTTTTTTTGTAGATATGGGTTTTCACCATGGTGGCCAGGCTGGTCTCGAACTCCTGACCTCAAGTGATCCACTCACCACAGCCTCCCAAAGTGTTGAGACTACAGGCATAAGCCATCACGCCCAACCAGAAAGCTCTTTTTCAACATAAAAGCTGTCAATATAAAATATATTATTTTTGGAAGGGTACCATTTTAATATTAATAATGACTGATAAAAAGAAAAAAAGCACTGTAGACTATTTTAAGTTTTAGAAACCCTACTTACTCTTTGCTTAGAAAGACTTCCATTTTCTCTCCTGATAGTAAAGAATATGTGCCTAAAGTCTCTAAAACCCCTGTGCTATTTCTTCTCTTTACAAAGACTAACTCAGAGTTCTACTGTTTGCTATGTGATCTTGGTGAACTCAGCTGCTCAGAACTCTGGTTTCATCCTCCATAAAATGAAGCTAATTATGGGAACTGCTGGAAAGAATAGTTACGAAGGATTAACTGACAATTTATGTAAAGTGGTTAGCAAGGTGGCTGGCATACAGAAGCCTTCAAGAAGCCGTTATGATTATTATTAGAAGGAAATATGTACTTACCAACTCTGTGTTGGTATTTTAGAATTTTCAATATTTTATTTCTCTTGGGATATTATCTATTGCAGTTTTCAATGAGGCAGGATTTAGAGATATCTGAGACCAAAGAAATAAGGTAAAATAACATGGCAAAGTGCCATGTAGAGAATCACTGGTAGTCATGATTCTCTACAGGCCTCATTGCTTTGAGATTTAATGCTACCAGTCTGAGAGCTAGAATTGATTGATGTTCTATCATTCTATCATTTAACTTTGTGCTGTTTTCATTCCAAGTCTTCTCATGTACTTGGCAAGATGACCAAGGAAGCTCTGAGTCTGAGTTCTGTTTCTACTTAAAAATAAAATCAAATGTCACTAAATGAGGAAGCAAATGGAGGTGAAGTATTTTGAGGAGAGGTGTTAGGAAATGCAAAGGAATGTTTCCTAAATATTGTTACTTGTTTCTATTTCCAGTATGGCTAAGTGAGTTCTCCTGGACCTGGCGTTCTCACAGGTCCAGCAAGTGCCAAAAAGTACCAAAAGACCAGACGAAAGAGAAAAGAAAAAGGAAAATTACCTGGCAGCACTAGAGTAAAAATAAGCAGACAGTTTCTGGAGAGGAGCTGAAATTCAAAACTTGGTGGCACAGATCAGTCTAGAGTGAGTGTCCCATTTTACAACTTTTAGACTAAGAGCTGGCTGAAATTAATGTCACCTGGAGTGGCCAGCCTCCAATAGAAAACTCACAGTGCTTTTGGTTTGGAAACCCAAAGAACAGAGTTCAGGGCAATCATAGCCACAGGAAAATGAATTTAGAATCTTGGAAAGAAGAGAGGCAGCGAGGAGAAGCTCACAAATTAGTATATAAACACTACCCAAATTTCTGGCTGACCCTTGAATTTTATTAATATGAGAGAAACTAAACTTTTAGACAAAAAGTTACCAGAGATAAAGAAGAACATTTCATAATAATTAAGTCATTATATTAAGAAGACTTAAGAATTGTAGATGAGTATGCACTTGACTAAATTCCAAGTGAGATCATGAGGTACCTGTCATGTACATATTCTTGCATGGAGCAGACACAGATTAGCACAAAGATAAAAGGACTAAACTGAGGTTTGAGCTGCCATCGAAGAGATAGTTTTAAATTTGAGTATAACTAATTGCCTGCTAAAATAAATAAATCAATACCCTTCAGAAAACTATAACAGGATTCAAACTCTTCATACCATAACATCCATACACACATATCATACAACCCCAAATTACATGATAGTTGAAAATCCAATAAAGTGTGACTCATTCTGAAGACAAAAGGCAGTTATCTGAGACCAGTTCCCAGATGAGCCAGATGTGGGAATTAACAAAGATTTTTAAAGTGGCTACTATAACCATGCTCCACCAATAACAGGAAAATAAACTCATGATGAATAAGAAGGTAGTAAACAGAAACTGCAAATAAGAACCAAATAGAAATTCTGAAACTGAAAAATACAATATTTGAAATAAACACTCAGTGAGTATACTCACAGCAATTGGAGGTATCAGAGGAAAGTGTCATGAACTTAAATATAGATCTATAGAAATTTTCTTTTGGAAGACCAGAAAGGAAAAAACGACTTAAAACAACTGAATAGAAAAATAAACAGAGACTCAGGGACCTGTGTAACAAAAATTAAAATGTCTAACACACGTGTCATTAGCATCTCAGAAGGAGGAGAGAAAGAATGAAACAAAAAATATTTGAAGACAAAATGGGCCCAAATTTTCAAATTTGGTGAAATACATTAATGCATAGATAAAGAAATGCAATGAACCCCAAATAGGATACATTTGAAGAAAATTTTGCATAGGCACATCATATTCCAACTGCTGAGCACCAGCAATAAAGAGAGAATCTTGATAGTAGCCAGAGAAAAATGGCACAGTATCTTTGGTGGAACAACGCTTTAAATGAACACTGACTTCTCATCAGAATTTATAAAGGCCAGAAAATGCGAAATGATATTTTTAAAGTACAAAGGAGGGGGAAAAAAAGCAAAATGCTGTTAATCCAGAATTCTATATATAGTGAAAATATCCTTTGTGAGTAAAGGCAAATAAAGAACATTTTCAGATAAAAGGAAACTGAGAGCATTTATTGTCAGCAGACCTGCACCACAGAAATGCTAAAGGAAGTTGTTCAGGCTAAAGTGAGATAATACCAGATGGAATCATAAGTCTTCAAGAAGAAATGAAAAAATATTGGAAATTGTAAATATAAAAGACTGTTTTTTCATCATAAGATCTTTATCATACACAGGACCCATTCAAGCAAAAAATTATAATATTGTCTTATGTTTATAATGTCATATGTATAGATGTAGTCCATATGACTTTATAGCATAAATAATGGAGATGGTGGCAAATGGATTTACACAGTTGCAAGGGTTTCCAATTTTATATGAGATAGTATAAAATTAAATCTAAGTAGACTATGAAAGATCAAGAATGTATATTTTAATTCCTAAAACAACCACTGAAAATCCAAAGATAAAATAAAATAGAATCCTAAGTTTAAAAAAATGTGATCCAAAGGGAAGCAACAGAAGAACAAGAAGCAGAAAAGCAAACAAAAAACAAA